CGACAGAACTGTAATCTTTGACAGTTCTGGAGCTAGATGTCCAAAATCAAGGCACTGGCACAGTCATGCTCTCTCTGGTGGCTCTAGGGAAGGATCCTTCCTTGCCTCTCTCCTAACTTCTGGGAGTCGCTGGCAACCCATGGCATTCCTCAGCATGTAGACACATTGCCCCAGTCTTTGCCTCTGTTATCTCAGGGAATTCTCCTTATGCATATTCTGTCTCTTTGTCCACATTTCCCTCTTCTTATAAGGACACCAGTCATGGAATTAGGGCCCACACAACCCAGTATGACTTCATCTTATCTTCATTATATCCACAAGGACTCCAATTCACATTCACAGGCACCAGGGCTTAGGACTTGAACTTTTCTTCTGGGAGGCACAATTCTACCCATACAGGTTGGAAGCAGGCTAGAGGGTACTGAACAGGAAATTGTGGAAATCCATGGGAATACCTGGTGAGAAGTGTTTAGCTAGCTGGGATAGGAGTTTGAGTTGTCTCATGTGAATGTTAAAGCAAAGACTTTCCCAAAAGGCTAGAGAAGTGAAAGTTTTCCAGGTGGCTTGGAAATCCCAACAGTCTTGGCAGGACTTGCAGAGATGACTTCAGGTTGTTCTGCTGAAATGAACATGTGCACACACACGCACACACACACACACACACACACACACACACCCCTACCTTTAAGTGAAAGAGCATCAAGACTTGTGACAGGGCACTGAAAGAAATCACTGAATTTGGAATCATAAGAACCTGAGTTCTCAGGCAACCTCCACTGCAAACAAAGCGCCAAATCCCCAAAGCTTCAATTTCCACCTTTGTACAATGATGTGAATAATTCCATCGTTCCAATTCTGTCCTGCAGTCCAGGACACTGTGAAATGAAGCATGCCCAAATGGAAAGCGTTATCCGTGAAGGTAGCATGGGCCACATCCCAGATTTCCAGTGGGGGAAATGCGCTAAGAATCCTCCAAGAGGACACACTACTTCCCCCACTGCTGCGCCTGGTATGTCAAAGGAAAGAAAGAGGTTAACACTGGAGTTTCTTCTCTTCATTCACAAAGGTCCAAACTCACCTCCTCTTGCTGTGCAGTTTGGACCATAACAGGAATATGGGATAGGGGGCCACAGAGACCCCTGGGGGCAGTGTAGCAAGCAGTGACCCTTTAATGAAATACAGGAGTCTGTGGAGGTGCAAATACGCAACATCCAGTGGTATTTTGTCCTGGCTGCAATTTGTCAATAGATCGCCAGGTGTCAAGGGAGCCCCAAGTGTTACTTTTGCCCTGGGCCCCATAAATCCAGTGCTGGCATTTCAGTAAAAATAGCCAGAAGTTCTCTGGGTGCTAGATGCAACATGGAAAAGTATATTAAAGATACTCAGAAAACGATGACTTTTCCAATAGGGTTTTAATGCCAAACATATGTATTACTGACTGAAATCCAAGTGTTAAGCAGATTTTGAGATTGCACTTCAGCTCCCCCAGCTGGTGTCCGACACATTCCAAAATTTTTCTTCTACTCAATACGTCTTTTTAATCCCTTCCGGTGCGTTTCTTTTTGGCAAATTGGGAGGAGAGAATGCCCATCGCTTCACATCTTCCAGATCACATTCTGCATACATCAACCAGGAATTAAGAATTAAACAATCACTTCATATCTTAGTTGTCAAATATTTCACTGTTGGGGGATGTATTTGCATATCTGAAAACATGCTGGCATCTCGGTGTTTAACATAAGAAACTCTTCGAGATATCTACGACAGCGATGGTGAGAGGGGGATTTGGGGGCACGGTGGGCAAAGCAGGGAGCCAGTCCGTGCAACAGGATGAGGGAGAGGGGCCCACTCAGGACCCACCTCCCTGATTCTTGCAGTCAGTGCTGACTTAGGTTGGGTTCCCCAGCAGCAGACCTGGAACAAGAGTTTGGATTTAAGGGGTCTATTTGGGAGGTCATCCAGGCAGTGACAGAAGGGAGTGAGAAAGTGAAACAGGGAAAAGGGGAAGCAGCCAAGGTGGGGTCATCAGTGGGCAGGCAACTGCAACAGGCAATGAGGTTGCCCCAAGTCAGCCCTGGAGGGGACCTCTAGGGGCATATAGGTCTGCTCCAGAGATGTTCTACCTGAGGGGCAAGGAGGTAAGGGCTTAACCACCAACTCCTGTTAGTCATTACTTTTTGTCTATGCCTGTGGGTGTTAACTTCTTGTACCTCCAGGCTGCTCAGCTCATAGACAGAAAATGGTCCTATGTCTTCATGGTTCCCAAACTATGCACTGAGGCACCCCAGGGTGCTGCTGAAAATTCACAGAAGAGGATAGGGATGTTTTTAATTTTTGAGGGAAACACAGTGACATCTATCCTACCTTGCATGAGCTCTTTGTTTGAGGTGGCTCAGTGTTAGGGGTTGATTTGTGTACTCCTAAAATTCATATGCTGAAGTCTTAACCCCCAGTACCTCAGAACTTGACCTTACTTGGTAGAACACCTCAAGTGCTGGGAGCTTATTCTCTCCCTACAGAATATGCCTCTTCACGAATGGGAATGAGAAAGAGAAGGCTTTGAACTCCATGCATTGTCATTTCACTTAGTCCTCCCAGCCATATGAAATGGGCATAACTACCACTATTGGCATACATGGTGAAAATGAGGCTCAGAGAGGTAAGATGTCTTGACAAACACCGCACTACCAGTAAATGGCAGAGCCAAGATTTGAACACAGATCTTTGCGATTCCAGATCCCTCCCTTTCTGCTTCCAGTTCTCACGTGACTCTGAGAGGTGGATATTAGTAACAGAAGAAATAAGAGCTAACCTTTACTGAGCACTTCCTTTTTGCTAGGCCTTGTGTTTCTCGTGGATTATCCATTTGGTTTTTGCTGTTGTCCTATGCAGTTCTCATTGAGGCTGCTCAGTGGCCAAGTCAGTCTGACTCCAGAGCTCAGGCCTTTTAAAACACTGCTCTGCTGTATATTTATTTCCTTACATTGAACCTAAACCTCTTCCTATTTTCTGGGCTCATAGAGAACTTGTTGAGCCCTTCTTCGTCAAGCCTGTCCCAGGAAGCCACACAAAGACAGCCTTTTGTCTGTTCTGCTCGGGGCTGAACATTTCCCATGCTGTCTTCTTTTCTCATCCCCTCTCATCCCCAGCCCCATCTTCTGAACACAATTCAGTTTATCTGCATCCTTCTGAAAGCACTTGCTGATTGTTTAATACTGCCCACAAAACAGGCAGGAAGACCCAAACTTCCTCTGAAAGAAGGTCAGACTCAGTCTTCAGACATTGGTGAAAAAATACTGACTTCCAAGCATCAGCATGTAGAGCTGTGTGGCTAGGAATCTGGTATTCTGGGGAGGGTCATCTAGCAGCAGATGCCTTCTAAAGAGAAGGTGAGGTCAGTGGGTGGCTGAGATGACATCATGATCCTCGGCAGCTCAAGATTTAGAGAGAAAGTGAGTCAGATTGCTCCAGTATGAAATAATGCCAAGGATAAAGCATGCAAATCAGAACATGTGTGATAAATCTTTTACAAGCTGGGAATCTGCCCCATAGGGTTATTGGAAGGATTAAATAAATTAATGTATGTAAAGTGCTTAGTAGAGCACCTGGCACAGAGCAAATGATCAATAAATATTAGTTAATATTAATATCTGCTGTGGAATGAACACTGCACTGTAAAAATGACTAATTCTTCCTGGGGATGGGTTGTCAAGAAATAATAATAATAGTTGCCATTTAACTAGGATTCCTCCCATGCTCAGCCTTTACATACATTATCTGTTTTAATCCCTGACAACCCCCAGTAAAGTTATTTTCCCCATTTTAAAGATATGCAATCCAAGGCTCAGCCAAGTTAGGCATTTTATGCTTGGTCATGTGTTAGGTGGTTACAGCCTCAGGTTTGGCTTTGAATGGCAGCTGAGGCACTTTCTGTGTGACCTTAAGCATGTCATTCAATCTCTCTAAGCCTGTTTCCTAGTCTGTAAAATAGAGTAATAAAATATATTCCTTGAAAACATGCTATATGAGTTATTATATGGAAAACACTTGTGTCTAGCACAGTCTAAGCACTCAATAAATGTCATACACATATATACATATATATACATATACACGTGTGTGTGTGTGTGTGTA